GGGTGTAGGGAATGTTTATGATCCTTAGGTGTGTGCAGGAAGTGTTCCTGATCTCTAGGTGTACATGGAGAGTGTTTCTTAGCTCTAGCTTTGCTCCCACAGTATCTAGGATCGCTAGTTGAGTGCGGGGAGCATGGGTGCTCGTGTAGGAGGTGGACTTAGGCACTGGCTCTCCCCAACCTCCGTAGCATTGTTGACTGGAGATGGGATGGGAGTGGGTGACACGTGGAGGCAGCAAGCCTGGGAACCAGGTCCCGGGGTCCTGGCCTTGTTCTGTGACTCTGGGTGCCTCAGACAATACTTGGTCTCTGAGCCTGAGTTTCCTCATTTGTAATGGGTGATGTCCAAGGCCTTTTGTGGCTCATACATATGACAAATATGCAGAAAACAAAACAAGACAGGAGAGATGATGAAGGTTTTGTGTGAACTTGAAACAGTCACTTGAAATGGATAATTTCATAGTAAAAACCAAGTACTTCTAATGAGGTTTATTGTGGATGTTGGTACACGGAAAATTCTGTGCTTTTGCATTTAGACTTTGGAGCGGAAATTTGACAGAATTTATCCCCCAGATTTGGCTCATGACACTCCACCCTCCTGATTTCCCTCCCTCAGTGGTGATGCCTTTTCCTCTCAGTACTGGGTGCGTGTGCCCTGAGAGCACTGGGGAGGGGGCAGGGGGAACCAGTGCCAATGCTATCAGCTCTAGGATCCAGAGGGGGAGTCTTTTTCAGTTGTGAATCTTGCACGAGAGCCTGCCATGCTCTACCCTTGTTCCTCCCTGCCATTTCTAAGGCTGCTGGTTATATTGAGGGCCAGTCCTGAGGGGTGGCCCCACCTTGCTCAGCACTCTGCTGGGAGTGAATGAGGAGCTGCTGCCTTGGTCTGATTGCTCTGAGCAATGACCAAGACTTCCAGCCTCTCGAGCAGCCCTCGCCAGAAGCATGGGCTGAGGTGCCCACTGGGCCTGGGGAAGGAGTGGCAGTGACGGGCTCTGTGCTGCCTTCCGAGGGTCACTTGAAATCCAGCTAGGTGTGACTGTGGCGCCTCCTGCGTTTCAGGGCTGCTGGTCAGGGTCTCCCAGGAGTGCATGTGATGTGGGCTCTTCTGCAGGAGACAACCTTGGCGCCTGCTCCTTGCATGGCCCAGGCTCAGGGTCACTTCCCTTGGAGACCCTGGCTCGGCCCTGCAGGATGGTCCCGTAGATGCCATCTTGGCCATAAGGAGGCTGGACGCCAGTTTAGCGAGATGTGGAGGGAAGTGATTTGTCAAGAAAGCAGTCTTGATTCTGACTCTTTTACAAAAATCCAAACTTCCCCATCACAAAAATGTAACACATGCTGGTTCTATAAAGGGCGAAAAGGCCAGGAAAGAGGAAAGAAGAAGGAAGACCCTGCCTTCCAACTGCAGCGTCTTGGTCTGTTTCCTGGCTGCCTCTCTTCAAGCTGCTTGGTTTTAGAAGAATGACCACACACGTCAGCATCATAAGGTTTTCCTTCCACACTGCTGGCACTCAAAGCAGGCAATGCCAGTGGCTGTGTGGGCAGCCTGGGGCTGTGCCTCAGTCGACCCAGGTGCTGCTCTGAGCATCCCTGATGTGGCCCTCCTTGCAGCTTTTGCACACAGGAGCCTGAGGCTTAGATTCTGAATGTGGCTATTCTTTTAATTCCTGTTTTTCTGAGTCTCGTGTTTTTCTTCTGTCTTAGGATGGAGGCCACTTGCCTGCCTCTAAGTTACGGAGTGCTGAGGCCTTCAGTCCTGTGTGGGGCATTGCCTGGGCTGGGCCAGTCCCAGGGTGCGCACCACTAGCAGCACTTGACACACTGAGGCACCCTGGAGTCCTGGCTCCTCCAAGTCAGGAGCTCTGAGGAACCCTGCTTGTGAGTCAGGCCACGCACGAGGTGGGCCCCGGTGAGGTTTGGGGTCTTGGTTTAGGACCTCCCACCACATCCCATTGAAATCTCCCAACAGCTTTTAAAGAGCATGGTGAAGACAGCACCCCCGCATACCACTGCCTCCCCAACCTCCTCTGCCTGGGCAACCGATCTGGATTCTTAAGAAAACCCACCGGGGTGAAAGGAACCCACCGGAGAAATGGGCTAGAGAGCTCTGATCTGCCACTGGGGAGTTTTGGGATTTCTTGCCATGGGTCCCACTAGCTGCATGTCGCTGGCCCTTCAGCCTCCAGGGGCCTTCACTCTGCTGGGTTCTGGGTCTGAGGAGCCTTGAGGCAATCTGAGCAGGACAGCTTCATTTGGGGAGCATTCTGGCGCCTGGGGGTGCCCCGGGCAGGCCTGGAAGTCCAGGGGTTCAGCACATTGCCTCTTGAAGGGGGTATTTAATGGGAAGGCCAGCCCCATCTGGCTGCCGAGACTAAGGCCCCCAGCCTCCCTTCCAGGTCTCCAGCCAGCACCAGCTCACCCAGAACCTGTGCTCCTCAGGCTATCCATGCTCCCTCCGGCCTGTGCTGCTGCCCCTTCCTCTGTCCCCCAGCATGTCCCACTACATGGCTTCCATCTGTGGTGGCCACTTGCCCTGCCTTTGTCCCCTCCCATCGTCCCACCAGGCTCTGGAGGCCTGGCCACCTCACATCTGTTGTACCACGTAGCATACTAGCCCCTCTTCTGGGTCTCCGTGACCTGGGTGTTGGCTGCAGACATGGGACACAGCTGGGACCGCCGGCTGCTTGTAGCTGCCTGGGAATATACAAGCTGCTCTCCTTGTTCTGCTTGTGAAGAAACTGAGGCCAGGCCCGGAGGCCTCAATGGCAGTGACAAGGAGCACCCCAGGCAAGGCCTCTGCCCCCGTGACCTTCCTTCCTGCCCTCCCTCCAGGGTCTGTTGAGGCGGCAGTAAATAGTTCCTGTGCTGGGTGATGTGTGGATGTCACGCTCCCTTTGTGAGGGTGGGGGCAGGAGGAGCCCTGGAATCATGGAGTGGCAACTCTGACCACTCTCTTCAGACTTTGGTCCCTGTGTGGGAAATGGTGGCCACTTTTCACCTGTGAGCAGGACTGCCTAGGCATCCCTTTCCTGCTGCACATGGTCCCTAGGCCTGTTTGGGAGCAGTAGGGTCTGGAGGGTTTTAGAAGAGATGGAGGCTTAGGGGACAGGTCGGGAAGCATGGCTGAGGGGTGGGGACGCCCAGGGCTGTCTCTGGCTGGTGTCAGGGGAGAGGGTGGGAAGCAAATGGGGTCAGCCTGTGTGGGGAGGGACACCGCCTCAGGGGGAGAAATGGGCCCCAGGAAGAGGGCAGAGGTGCAGAGGCTCTTGGGCACCGAGGTCCCAGGGTCTAGCAACCCAACGTCCACAGCCCTATTTGATTTATGTCAGTCACAGAGATCGGTTTTGTCCCTTTAATCTAAGAAAAACAGATTTTTACAGCTTTGTAGTGGTAGACTTTAGGGAAAAACTCTTAAGACCACCAGGTTCTCTATCCAAATGGCAAAATTTGAGGTCCAGTAATGAAAAATAAGGTCCCAGCACGGCCTATTTGGCTATGTCAGGACACCTCCAGCCTCCCCACATGTCTGAACCTGGTGTCCTCTATGGTCTGTGCCTGCCAAGGACCCTATGAGGGCCTCAGAGCCGCCTTCTGGCCTGGGAGGCTGCATCTGTTTCCGCTGATGGTGGCGTCACCTCCTCTCCGAGCACCTGGCCTGGGCCTTGCTGACAGGAAGCTGAGACAGCAGCTCTGCCCCAGAGCCGAGGCCACAGCTTCTGCTGCCCTTCCCAGCCATCTGCAGGAACCCAGCTAGAGGAGGCTACTGGCAGGAGGGACTGGCAGGAGGGAGCAGCTCCCCCACACCTGTGTATTGTATGTTGTAGGGAGGAACCCCCCAGCACAGGTATGTGCTGGAGGGAGGCACCCCGTATTTGGGTGTGAGCTAGAGGTAGCAACCCCTCTTATGTGGGTGTATGTTGGAGGAAGCAGTCGCTCGGTTGTCTACGTGTTCACGGGAGGCCACACTGGAGGGATCGACCAGGACCACTGGGCTGTGTTGGGCTCAGCAGTCCCCAGATCACAGGTGTAACTGCTAGGTGGGCCTGGCCCAGGTGGGGGGGACGAAAACTCCACCCCTTCCCTTTCCCCTTATGGGTGCCGAGAGCATCGGGCAAGCTGGTGCAGCCCAGGGCACTGTGTGCTCTACCACACAGATGGCAGGCCTACCCACATGCCCACCCAGCGAGGCGGGTTTCAGATGTGATCTGTTGTGCCTTGAGAAGGGTGTATCTGCCAACGCTGTGGCAGGCAGGCAGGGGCCACAGTTCTCAAGGGGACCCTTCAGGTGGACAGGGAACACCTCTCAAGCGAATGGGCCACACTTCGTGGTCAGCGATCACTGGGGATGCCCTGGGCCACCCTCCATTGTGTGGCCACCAATGCACCCCCAATCCAGGCCCCCTTGCTGCGGTGTAGACAAGAGGTGGTCATGGCAAAGCTCAGCAGCCGCCTCCAACAGCCTGAAGGCAGGAGGCCTTCGCTGTCACCCCACCTGGTCCTGGCCATCTGCTTGGAGAGAACCAGGCCCAAGGGGTAGGCCTGGTGGGTGAGGCCTGTGTCTGGAGCATTCTTTGGGTTGGAGCCGTTGACGCCAGCCCTACCTTGAAAGGCCTTGGGGTCTGTGTGAGCCGTTCTCATGGATTTTCTTAGAGGCTTTAGAGAGTGAGGAAGGATCCCTAACATGCCTGTCTCCTCTCAGGGTGCATCAGGGGAGGCCATCTTGATTCCAGCAGAACTTACACCTGTCCTAGATCTGAGACGGGGACAAGTCAGGGTTATGGGCCGTGGGTGGCAGGACATGCAGCCCTTCTCGGGATCTCCCTGAGACGCCACACATGGGTGTTGTTGGGCAGAGAGGCGTGTGGACCCAGAACCTCGGGAGATTTGGGTGCCCTGGCCTGGGGTGGGGGAGCTCGGGAGCCCTGAGGTGGTCTGGCCTGGGTGGGCGTGGCTGGGAGTCCTGGACTTCTCCTTGAGGACTCACTGTGTTCTCTGTAGGACGAAACCGGTGCCTACTTAATCGACAGAGACCCTACCTACTTTGGACCTGTGCTGAACTACTTGAGACATGGAAAACTGGTCATTAACAAGGACCTGGCTGAGGAAGGTAAGCTGTCTTGTCTGCACAGACACCTCAGCCTTGTGGCAGGCCCGACAAAGATGTCAAGGGTCATTGAAGATGCAAGCCCTGAGCTGAGCCTGCCTGTGCTGTGGTGGGCTGGGCCTGAGGGTCTGGCACTGAGGCCTTGGCTTCCTTTGCAGACATGTCCCATGAGGCCACTGCAGTGGGGCTGTGGGACAGAGGAGGAAAGGACCATGTGGCAAGAGTGCCTAAGACTTGGACCCAGCCCCCCTGGAGCCAGCTCCCCAGCCACGGGTCATTCCCATGCTCCCTCTTTAAGGGTCTATTAGTGGTATGGTGGCTGGGGCTCTCTCCCTGGGGGGAGGCTGGTGCCTGCGTAAGGGCTGTGCCCACCAAGTCTCACGGTTGAACCTCGGCCCTGCTGCACCAGCATACTCTCCTTCAAGGACAGCCTGAGGATCGTGGGCCTCTCTACTCCATCACCAAGAGGTGTCTGCTGTTGCCAGTTGCTGTCCTGGAGCCTGGGACAGATGCCCACATGCGAGCCACCTGGCACTGGGCCTGGGGCAACCTGTCGGCATGCTCCAGCAGTGGCTTGGCTAGAAGCTGGGGCAGCCTAGTCACAAGGGCCAGGGACAATGTGGGCATCTGTAGACTTGGCGTTGAGCCTCTGCACGGAGCAGCGTGCTCTCCCTGGTACTTGCCACACCTCACTCTGTTTCTTTCTGGGCCTCCAGGCCTGCCTTCCTCCTCCTCCTCGTCCTGAGTTCCTGTAGCCCTAGGGTGACAGATGTTGTAGCAGTTAACTTTCTTCACACACATTCGTTGCTTGGGTGACCCCTGTGTGTTCTGTTTACGATGGTTACAGGCCACCCTCTGTTTCAGTCTCTGCTGAATGTGATTTGCTAGAAATAGGTACTAGACACAGACTAAGCCTGCTGCCCAGAGTCTGTGGCCAGCCTCAGCCACGGCCACTTTGAAGGGGAGCCCACATGGAGCAAGATGCTCTGTGCATGGCACTCTCAAGGCTAGAGCTTGAGGGCAGGGTGGACTGGCACTGAGCTGGATAGCACACCTGCGGGGTGGGAGGCCTGTGCTCTGGCCTGCTTGGCTTCTTCCTTCATGGCCCTGTCCTCTGTGGCTCTGTCCTCCGTGGCCCTGTCCTCTGTGAGTCTGTCCTGCTTGGACCTGTCCTCTGTGGTTCTGTCTTCTGTGACCCTCTGTCTGTGGCCCTGTCCTGCTTGGCTCTGTCTTTCGTGTTCCTGTCCTACATGACCCTGCCCTCCGTGACCCTGTCCTCACCAGCTCTGTCCTGTGAAGGTGACTGCATGTTGTCCTGAGTTGTTGTGTCCTACATGCAGCTTCCCTTTGGGAGATGCGGAAGGACTAAGAAACCCATGAGGAATCCCTGAAGCAGCATCTTCGGAATCTGTTCTTAGGAATTTCTGGGAGGTTTGGGGTACCTAAATGTGACATACTGCAGATGGCAGCCTTTGGGAACTGTTCTGAATCTGGAAGCGACCCTCTCAGCCAGGCAGTTTTCCCTCTGAATAGGGGAAACCGAGGTGCCAGGTGACTCAGACATGTGCAGGAGCCGCCCAGTCACACCTGAGCCTCATGTGTCCCTGCCTGCGGCCTGTTCGCGTGCAAGTTTACAGTAGGAAGTTAGCAGTGCACCACGGGCAGCCTCTAGGCTGTGGAGGGGAATGCTGGTTATGCCCCCAATAAGCCATTGACTTAGGATGGACATGTGGGGTATGTGTGACCCAGCTGTTCCACACCTAGTGGATCACATATGCAGGAGGGTGTTTAGTAGCCATTACCACCATCCCTGTTTTCAGCTCTCTGCCCCTGACCCTGGGAGCCCTGCCACACGCCAACAGGTATCCGCAGGGTTTCATCAGGCAGAGGCGGAGCAGGTGGGACATGCTGCTGCTTTGGTCTGGTCTGGTGAAAATGACTGTTATTTTTCTCTATTCTAGGAGTGTTGGAGGAAGCTGAATTTTATAATATCACCTCATTAATAAAACTTGTAAAGGACAAAATTAGAGAACGAGACAGCAAAACATCGCAGGTGAGACAAGCAACTAATGTGCTCGAAGCTTCCAAGGCCCAGTGTGAAGGCAGGGTTCACACCCTTCCTTCCTTCCTGACCGACTGGCTGCCTCCTCAGGAGCCTTTGGACTGGGCTGTCCAGCCCTGGGGACCTTCTTCCTCTGTTGTTCTAGTGCCCAGCGGCCCCCGCCTCCAGCCTCCTCCCTCATGGCCGCAAAGTCCCTGCAGGGTCCCTCCAGCTCTGCCCAGTCCTGTCCCAGGGGTGCCCCCTCCAGTGGGAATAGGCAGCACGAGGGGGTCGAGAAATGCTGTGGAGGAGAGGGACAAGGTGGAGAAGGGCAGCCTCCCTGGAGAGGATGTTCCAGGCAGGGAGCAAAGGGCCTGTGGCTGGTGTGGCTAGAGGGGATGCCGAAGGGTCTGTGGGTCTGAGTAGGCCCCGTGAGGACACGGCTGTACCTGGGCAGGAAGGATTGACTGTGTGTGCTCTGTGTGCCATGCCTGTGTGCACAGAGCCTCACTGAGGCCTGTGTTGGAGGAGGGCCGTGCCCGGAGCCTACTGTGGAGGGAGGTGCCCATGGGTCCCAGCCATCAGTCCTGTACCCGAGGCCAAGCCCACCCCACCAGCTCAGCCCCTTCAGGGAGGTGCTAGGGTGGATGTCAGCAGTGCTCTGGCTGCTGTTGGAAGATCTTTTGCTTGCAGACTGCCTGGCGCCCCTGCTGTAGGCTCTCCCATGCTGTACCTGCACCCTTCCTGCCATGCGCCCAACACCCCTGCGCCAGTGCTCTGGGCCTTGCTGGTGGCCTGACCACTGAAAGCAGCTGGTCAGGATCCAGGCTGGGGAGGGGTGCCACATGGCCGCCCCAGCCCTCCTCTCCTGCTGGAGCTTACCGGTACCAGGAAATTGTTCTGGGGTCTCCTCATCTGCAGGGCAGGAGATGTGCCCTAAACTCTCCCATGTCACCTCATCCCGTTTGCTGCCCCATTCCCTCCATCCAGCAGCCCCCTCGTAACTTGGGCCATGCTGACTTCATCCCATGATGGGCTGGCTTGCAGTGACATGCAGCAGTGTCTCATTTGCTGTCTCACAGACGAAAACACTTGGGGTGTGTGACCTTGTCACCTGTGTGATCCCAGCATGAGTCACCACATTAATGTCAGCGACCCAGACTCCAAACCCCTCCCCCACCATTGTGCTCGTCTTAGCCCCACCTTCACCCGGGGCTCTTTGCAGTCACTGCCTCTTGCCCGCTGAGCACAAGGGTAGGGCAGACCGTGGGGGCTCACTGCACGTTCCTGGGACCCCACACGGCTAGCGCGTCACGGAGCGACTTTTTTGGGCAGATAGAGTCAAGAAGCAGGATCGGCGTGAGGAAGCTGCCTGTGTCTGAGCAGCTGCTTGTGTTTAGAAGCTTTTCTGGCAGCCAAACTGTGTGTCTGTGTTGCTTGGCCCCTCCCTGCTAGAGCCCCTCCCAGCAGTCCCCGCATGTGGAACTTGTTCATTCATATCAAGCCACAGGTGCTGTTAGCGTTTCAGGAACATGACTCACTTTATGTTGGAATTTAGAAACAGAAATATTTTTGGAGGCAACAGGGAAGCAGTACACAGCAACTGTTCCCGGCCACAGGTTTTGCTTTTTTTGATGTGTTCAGGGCAGTTTGGGCCTTGCGACCGGAGCAGAGAGGTGGAAAGTAAACCTCACCTCGCTAGGGTTACTGGAAAGCCTCCCAAGTCAGGCCCTGGGCAGGGACGGGAGCAGTGGGGGTGTGGCCCAGTCTCACCTGTACCCGTGTCTTGCAGGTGCCTGTGAAACACGTGTACCGTGTGCTGCAGTGTCAGGAGGAGGAGCTCACACAGATGGTGTCCACTATGTCAGATGGATGGAAGTTTGAGCAGGTGAGGGGCCTCTGGCTGGGCTAACGCAGCCTGTGGCACAGCTGGACTTTTCAGCTGAGCCTGAGTCCTCGGGGCTGCTGGCCCCAGGGACTAGGTGAGGCCTCTGCCTCCATCGAGGCTCCTGGAGAGACAGGGCTGCTACTGGTGCCTTCCTTCATCTTTGGAAGCCTCATGACAGCAGCCCAGCCCTGTCCGGGTTGGAGTTGGCCTGGGGCTGGGCGGGTGTGCTGGAGGTGTTCTTAAGTCCCCCATCCTCTCCTCTCTGGCTCCCTCTCTACATTACCCTTCCTCTTCCGGCCCTCCTTCTGTGGCCTGCTCTCTGTCTGCTTCATTCGCACCTCTGGGTGTGTGGAATTGGTGTCCAAGCACATCCTAGCCTGGCCTGACCCACCCCTGGGTACCCTCTAAGCCCACTCCATGTGACGAGCCCTTCGCGGGGCTGCTGCTCTCCGGTCTCCCATTTCTTGCCCTTGAGCTGCTGAGTTCCGGTGTCTCCCTGCCCTGACTTTGCTGGCCTGCAGCGGGTTGGGCTCGGGGCTGCATGAGCTCCATGTGGGGTGCTGCCAGTTCTGTATGGGGTACACTTACTCTAGCCACTTCTGCTGGAGCCACCCTGAGGCTGTATGAGCTCCTGGTGCCATGGCACTGTGGCCTCATCAGGGACCTCAGGACACGGGAAGCATGGCCCCTGGAGGGCCCTTGCCCACAACCTGGTCGCCACTGTTCCTGATCGTGGACAGGCATTGAGGGTGGGGACAATGACCTACCCAGCCCTCCCTGCCCTGAGTTTCCTGTCGCTAGCTTCTGTCTGGGACAGATTCTATCCATGGCCAAGTGGCCCCATCAGAGTATGGGAAATGGCAAGGGCGCCTGGTGGCCCTCCTGACAAAGGCTCCCTTTGGTTTGGGTCTTTTGAAATAATGAATCGCATTGTAGAGTACTTGGAGCTCCCCTTAGGATGTCACTGAAGACAAGTGGTCAGCATTTGCATCCCACCTCCCACACCAGACCTCTGGGCTAGGGTCCCGGGAGGCTCCTGGCCTCTGTGCTGATGGGTGGCAGCCTGTCACTCAGGGTTTCCGTGTTTCTCATGCTCTGACCCCATCAAATCGTTCCAGAGATGCACGCAGAGCAGAAGTCTTCTGCTGACAGACAAGGCTGCCCCTGGGTGGTTCCTTGGTAGCCCCACACGGGGCTGGGCTCTGGGGCTGTGTCCCCTGCTCAGGGTCTGTGAACAGGGTCATCCTCGATTTCAGTGGCACACCTGGGCTCTGCTCCTGCTGTCTGGGACATTTCTGGCAGAAAGGGAAGGTCTTCTGCCTTGAAGGGCACCTCCCTCCATGACCTCAGGACTGTCATTTGCTCTCCAGTAGATCTTAGATCCATGGCAAAGAGCTCTTCCCCGAATCCTGACCTGCTTAGCATACCTCGTCCCTCGGGACCCTGCTCCTTCCAGGTCACATGTGGAGTCCCTGAGCAGGGTTGTGTGGGTGGTGACCCGCTTCCCCGGAGGGTGCCCAAAGACCTGAGAGCCCTATTAGATTATTTTTTTGTAAGTTGGGAGCTCAGGGTCCTGTGAGGTGGCCAGAGTGGACCCAGGGTCCCCAGCGGTCAGTGACAAGGCCAGAGTGGGACCGCGAGCAGGGCTGGCTTGCCTGTGAGGGTGGGGTCTCTGCAAACAGGCCCTGAGCGCTCCCGTGGCACCCCTGCTGCTCGGTCCTATGCAGCTCTCCAGCACCTGCCCCACCTGGCCGGGCCCACAACCATCCACCGAGCTGTCTCACATCAGCACTGTGATGGCAGGTGGCTGCATGGACCATTCTCCTGGCCTCATGTCTGATGTGTGAGCTCCATGCATGGGGCTGGTGGAAAGGAGCAACCATTCCGCTGCATTTTGACTGGATCATTGATGTACTTAGGTTCTTACAGTGGTTTCCTTCTGATTTATTTTGTGTTAAAAGGCGCAGAAGCATTTGGCAGCTCTGGGTCCCCATATGCCTGGCACCAGGCTGGAGAGGCAGGTTGGCCCTAGGCCCATGGGGCTACCTGGTGACCTAGAGGGATTCCAGGTGGGTTGGAGGGGCCCAAGGGTGTGCCCACCAGCCACTGTGAACCTGTCTCAACTGTGACGGAGGAAAATAAGGCTCCTGTGGTGGCTTTTGGAGCTGGGCAGCTGGGCCTGGGCCTCTTCCCTCCAGGCTTCCAGAACTGTGCCTCCGCCTTCTCTCCACCCAACCACTTGGTCCTCCCCGGAGGCAGCTCAGTGCATCCCTGGGGAAGGGCTGGTGGCTGACAATGGGCCTGGATGGCTTGTGGGGCAGCCTACCCTTGATGTAGCCCCACAGGGGTGTGTGCTTCTTGCCTCCGCCCAGGCCCTACATACCCTTCCCCTGGGTGGTCAGTTGTGTTCCTTGTTGGCCTAGCCAGAAACACCAAGGAAGCTCATCGTTCCCACCGAGGAAGAGCCTGTCCCTTACATTATGCCATGACATGGTGACATGAGTGTATGCCTGGCTCGTGCAGGAGTTTCAGGAACTTGTTTTCTGTTAGTTCATTAAAAGTCTGAAACCTAGGCTGGGCGCAGTCACGCAAGCCTGTAATCCAAGTACTTTGGGAGGCCGAGGTGAGAGAATTGCTTGAGTTCAGGGGTTTGAGACTAGCTGGGCAACTTGGTGAGACCTCGTCTCTACAATAAATTTTTTAAAATGAGCCAGGCGTTGTGTCTCACACCTATAGTTCCAGCTACTTGGAAGACTGAGGCAGAAGAATCGCCTGAGCCCAGCAGGTCGGGGCTTTGGTGGCTGTGAGCATGCCATAGCATTCCAGCCTGGGTGACAGAATGAGACTCCCAACTCAAAAAATAAATAAACAAATAAAAAGTCTGAAGCCTGCTCTCCGTGTCCGCGAGGACTGGCAGTCTCTGCTGTAGCTTTCCTGGTAGCGAGCATGTCCTGAGTCAGGCACCCATCACCAGACTGTGTCTCCCTTGCAGCTGGTCAGCATTGGCTCTTCTTACAACTACGGAAATGAAGACCAGGCCGAGTTCCTTTGTGTGGTTTCCAAGGAGCTGCACAACAGCCCATATGGCACAGCCAGTGAGCCCAGTGAGAAAGCCAAGGTGAGTGCTGCTGAGGGGACCTGTCTCTAGGCTGGGCTGGGGGCCGCTCTTCTCAGAGCTTTGTGTTTCTTGCTATTCTCATCAAGCTCCCGGTGCCCAGGCTCCTGGTGGCTTGCGCACCCCCGCCCATGACTCTGCCTGCCATGCCCTTGGTGAGGCCTCTGACACAGGCTTCTCCAAGGAGCCCATGATGTCCTCAGCCTGGTGGCAGAGCTGATCCTGGAAGTACCTCTGGGCCTGGTGGAAGAACCATGCTTTTTGAGAATGCCACAGTGAACTGTTTTCTTGGGGACCCAGGGACCCTCTGTTCCCAGGGCCAGCCTCGGGTGTGTGGTAAGGACTCAAGATGCTGAGGCCTGGCGGTCAGCAGTGAGGGTTGGGGCCTGTCCCTGAGTGCAGCGGTGGGTGCTCTGGGCTGGTTGCTGCCTGGTCCACTTCAGCCTAGTCTTGGGAGTGGTGTTCACTTTGTAGCGGAGCATGTCCTGCAGGTCCTGGAATTCTTAGACACCCTGCAGCCTGGGCCCAGCATGGCAACCAGCCTCCATAGGACCCGGTGCAGACTCCCCCGTGGGGTATGGGGTCAGGCTCTGTCTACTAAGGAGGATGGTGACAGCTGGGTGGGCATGCAAGGAGCTACCTACCGTGTTTGCTTTCATATTAGCCCTGGGGCCTGCCCACAGACATCCATTCTGGTGGCATTTTCTCTGGGCATGCTCTTAAGGTTGGAGCTCCAGGGCAGATGTGTCTGTCCTTGCAGAATTCAGCATCAGCTGGGCTGTTCCACCTGGCAGGACTTCTAGACTTCAGAGTCTAGAGGGCCAGTGGCTTGCTCCCAGGGGCACTCTCGGGGTCTCAGGGGTCTGGAAGGTGGGGCAGGGCCTCTGTAGATGGCTAACCTGGAGTGTGAAGCATAGGCTTAGGGCAGAAAGGCCAATACCGGAAGGATTTTAACTGAGGACCTTAAACCAGGGACTCCTCAGGCAACCTCATATTCTTGGCCTCTGGCCAGCTGCTGGCAGCATTTGTCATCACGGCTAGCAGCCACCTGCCCAGGACCATTCACATGAGCCTCTCAGAGTCTTCCTTTAGAGGTGTGGGCTCAGGATCAGATGGGCGGGATCATTGAGTGTGTCTCCAGGAAGCTGTGTCGGGCTCAGGGCAGCCCTCTTACCACAGCATGAAGTCATGGTGCACCTTCATTGTGGGTGCCTTCCGGGCCTCAGCCTCCCACACCTAACCTCATGCTGGTCTGCTTGCTGCATGAGCAGAAGACAGCCTGTCCCGTGCTATTGCCTTGGGGCCCCAGACAGCATGGGTACAGCTTGGGGTCTATGCAAACCCCACAGTGCTTAGCAACAGGGGAGGAAGCCAGGGTCCCAGAGCCAGACCTGGGATGTGCTTTCCCTGGGGTGTGGGGTCTAGGAGGCAACCCCCACCTGCCTAAGGGCCCCTGTCCAGGCATGAGAAGGCGCTCCTTTCTCTCTTTGAGTAGTTGTAGGTCTCTTTTATAAGCTCTTGTATTTTTAGAAGTTTTTATTTCTGAACTCAAGCGGTTTTCCTAACCCAGCTCACCAGCTCATCTCCTTCAGGTGGTTTTTCAGCTGCAGAAAGGACACGCTCTGTGCTGTGAGGATGCTCCAAGCATGACCCCAAATCCCTTTGCTGTTGAAAATGTGGCCCTGTTTCTCTTGCCAAAAATACCTGACTTTGAAGTGGGGCAGCCGCAGCGGCTCTAAATGGGGCGGTTTCAGCAGTCCTGGGAGGTGGAGCCTAGCCCAGGCCTCTGGAAACCACGCAAATGCAGGGCAGATCTGGAAGACCATGACGGGGTGCCTGTGTGCAGGTGGTTGAGCAGGCCCACATGGTTTGCAGGGGCGAGTCTCCACAGACCCTTGTTCTTGCGCTACCAGGCCACCGCCCTTGGTTCAAGTTGCACATGGTAGGAGCAAGGGGTGGCCAAGCCCTGCGGGGATGGCCAGTGCACGGAGTTGGGGCACCTGGGCAGGCCACACACGCATGCCCTCGCTGCCGGTCCCAGCTGCTTAAGAACACAATAGAAGCACTCACAGAACTTGCTGAATGCAATGAGACTCGGGGGTACCATCTGTTCAGAGGAGGAGAGAGGGAGACAGGTTCAAGTCAGCCAGGGGAGGTGCTTAGGACAGAGGCCAGGAGAGTTGTCCATGGAGTTAGGCAGTAGCATGCAATAGCACCATGTGGTGTCACCACCAGAGAAGCTCCCAAGCCTCAGTGTCTGGGTGTTCCCGGGCTCGCTCCCCCAGCACGGTTGATGGGCAGGTTGATGCATCGACAGCCCGCATGACTGATCTCTGTCCCTGCCCCACTGACCTGTCCAGTATGGGCCTGCCCAGTGTGAGACAGAGGCCACCTCCCAGGAGCCGAGACCATAGGCAGGGTTTAGTCTCTCACACACAGAGCAGGACCAGCTCCAGGGTGCCAGGGATAGCTGCCTTCTGCAGTGAGTCCTGTACCTTGACCGACAGCTCCCCGAGCCCTGCATGTTCCTCCATGGTGTGGGCTCACTGGAGAGCCAGGGTGCTGGAGGTTTGGGCCCAGGGCTTTTCAGCTCTGGGCATCATGGCCTCCCTCCTGTGTCCCTGTTCGCGTCCTGACGGCCTGTCTTCTCCCCTGCTGCATGCTGCACGCCGCGCCAGAGTGACAACGAGGACATGGGTCACCAAGAGAATGGCCCAGATTAAGTTAAATGTCATGGTGAGCTCTGCAGCCTTGAAATCGGCCCATGCACCTGAGTCTCCTTGACCCTGCAACCCCAGCTGACCCTTGCCCTCAGCCCTGTCCCTGAGCGTCTGTCCCATGCCTGTAGTCGACGAGACCCCTCCACGCTTGATGCCGACTAGATGTGCAGTAGAGCTGCCTGCGGGGTTGGGGGTGTTGCTTTGTCGTAGTGTCCCCTCCAGGGATGCATCTGAGCAGGAGGATTGGGGCATTTCCTGCAGTGACCAGAGGGCCTTTTGTGTCAGGCCAGGCTTTGGACATCAGCGGCGCAGCCATGGGAGCGCCTCCAGGGTCTGGGCAGTGAGCACTCACTCTGCAACCTGCTGGCCCCAGTGGGCAGCCTTCCCTTCTACCTCAGGCCGCAGACCCAGGGCTGAACCGCAGATAGTGGACTCCAGCCTTGAATGCCAAACCCGGGGTGTCCCTGCTCCATCTGAGCTAGCCAGGCCAGGGACCACTGCCGTCATCCTGGAAGCCCATCAGCTGCCTCAGCACACTGCAGGGGTGCTGTCCACTGGGGTTTCTGCTGGTGGACTCCAGCCTCCCTGTGGAAAACGGCCTGGGTGAGAGCATGCCCAGAGGAGGTGGGCCTCCCCCAAGGCTCTGTCCAGGGCATACGGTGGTGCCAGCCAGGCCTGGGGAGTGGGGAGAACAGGCAGCCAGGTCCAGGTGGGCCTGCTCCTCCTCGGAAAGTTGTCAGGGCTCCCAGTGTGTTCTCACACTGCTCAGGTCTGCAGACCCCGGTCTGCACCGGACTGGGGGTCTCCGAGCTGGCACCTCAAGCCACATTGGCTTGAGGCAACAAGTCACCTCCAGACATTCCCACAACCTCCAGAATCATGTTGGCTTAAGGGGCTGCCTAGGTTGGCCTGAGGAGGAGGGAGGTGCTGCCCCAGTGGGAGGGGCTCCTTTCAGGTACGGGTGCCAGGTGGGACCGTGGGCTGGGGTATGTCCCTGAGACCCTGAGACTCTGTGGGGATGGGTAGGGGTGTTGGTCAGTGGACAAACAGGCACTCCAGTTACTCCACTGCCGAGGGCTCCATGGTGTCGTCTCATGGCAGTGACCTCTGTTGAGTGGCGCCAGCCGGGACTCATGGTGTTTTTGCCCTGCCTGGTGCTTCATGGCCTGTATGTGGCACATGGAAACAGCCACTGCCAGGAAGACCCCAGGAGACCTGCCATCTCTGAAGCTCCCTGCTTGGGGACGTGGGGATGCCCCTCTCCCGGCCTTCAGGGCTGCCTTGGCTTATTTTAGGGGCTCGGCTCAGCAGCCTTTGCCAGTGCCCAGCCTGTCCTCGGTGGCCTTGGGCCTTGAGAATCCAGAGCCTGACTTGGGGATAGACACACAGCCATTTCTGAATGCTGGGAGGGGCGGGGGTCTGCAGGGCCTGCAGGGTTCAGATGAGGCGGGCCACCCCCTTGTGACCCGCACTTGCAGGAGGGGCTGAGGTCCATCAGTGTTTGAGAGCCCTGGCTGGCTACAGCTAGGAAGGCCCATGCCAGGCAGAAGCACATGGCCCACAGGGGCCTGAGATGAGGTAAGGGGCATCCCTGGGTCAGGGATCCCTGGATCAGGGGTCAGGGATCCCTGGGTCAGGGGTCAGGGTTGTGTGACCGGGTGTGGGGCAAGGGGACCTGGCTGTGAGGGGTAGAGGAAGAGGGACAAGTGGGGCAGGGCAGCTGAGGGACCCCAGGGGCTCAGGGTTCAGTGGGGCTGAGAGGTCAGGGGGCAGAGCCTTTCAGGCGGGCAGTGCAGCCCCAGGTGGGCTCCGCCACTCGGAGAAGCAGTTGACTGAGATGGAGCTGCGGTGTCGGGGGCTGAGTCGGGACTCCAGGGGACGAGGTAAACAGGAGCACCACTGGCATTTCCTGGGGGGAGACAGAGGGACAGGCCATGGAGGGGGGCCCCAGACCTTGCTAAAGGCTGTGCTATGTCTGGGGGGGCCTCAGTGGGCCAGGCCTACCTGTTTGCTGTGGTTTGGGCGGAGAGTGGCAGGACTGGAAGGGTCTGGCTGCCCCCAGCGAGGGTTCCATCCTGCCTGCTGGGCCTTAGGACCCTGGCTTGCAGTGCCAGCTCTTGGGGCCTGTGGGCCCTGCTCTTCAGAGCAGACACCTGTCCCATCCAGGGCCTGTGTCCTCATTCTCTGCATTTGGTGTTTTCCAGATTTTGCAAGAACGGGGTTCAAGGATGTGAGGGACACTGTGTTGGCAGCTGAAGAAATGACTTACTCTTTCTCAAGATGCAATGAACCGCCATGTCCAGGAAACTTGGCTGTGAGAAGAAACCTGCTTTTGATCATTTTTCTAGAGATCTGGGTGTGAATCCTTTTTTGCCTCTGAGGTGGGTGGTGAGAGACGGTCCCAGCTGTCCAGGGCCAGGCATCCCCACGGGGAGGAGCACAGTGGCCGGGTGGGTGCAGTCTTGGGGGGCTTACTCTGCTTTTCCAAGTGCCATGTGGGACTGAGGCAGGATGCTCCTGGCCAGCCCTGTCAATCCCTGAAGACCATTTAGAGGACAGCGTTCTTGGTGCTACACAAACAGTCTGTACAAGCAGCCTGGGCCTCACTGGCAGGAAGTGACTGCAGCTGGTGTTCAGCACGTTGTGGCCTCGAGTCTGGGTGTTGCTGGTCATCCACGCCAGACCCCAGTCCTCAGCGGGACGTCTGCCCTGCCTCCTGGCTGGGGCCCTTCAGCAGTTTCTCTTGACCTCGGCAGAGACCCTGACAGGGTGGCTTCTGCATCATCACTACTTCTGGGCCAGAATGGGCTCCATGTCTCCCTGATCGCCCGGGACAGTCGAGGCTTCTCCATTTGTATTTTCCAGGCGGGAGAACTTTGTATTTCTTTTTCAGTGTGGATAGACTACCCAGTGTTTCTACTCTTTAGAAATGCCTACACGTGCTGCTGCGTTGGGGTTGGTCTGTCAGATCATTGCGGGAGGTGGTAGTGTTGCCCGTCCCGTTCACTCACGGCTCGTGGGAGCTGGCGCCTGTCAGTGCCTTGTCGCGCCTGGGATGGAGACTGGGCGGAGGCCTGTCCACTGACTTCTGAAGAAGCAGCTCGGTCTTGTTGAAAATTCGGGATGTTTACAGAGCATCATAGTCTCGTCTTTCTCGCCGGCTCTCATTTTCTTTGTATAACTATGCAGTCTTCTCTCTGTTTCTGGGATGTCTGAGAAGCCACACAACCTGCATGGGCCCTGCCCATCTGACATGCCGTGGGTGCTGCTAGGATTCCTGTAGAAACTGCTACCCACATGCTTGACAGACCTCTCGGCTGGCTGTGGGGCCTTGCTGGAGTCGGGGACCTGGCGCCAATACGTGAACTCTGTGCTTCCTGAGGGGAGCTATGTGCACTGGCCGCCAAGGCTTGCCGTGAGCAGGTCCAGGATCTGACGCTGTCTGGTTTCCAGTGCTTCCGGAGACTTCTGCCTAGCCTTGTCCTCTTCTCCTTTGCCAATAATCTGATTAACCAAGTTTCCAGCATCTAGGACTTAACCTCCTCCTTTTTTGTAAGGTCTCTTGTATGTTGTTAAATGTTTGGCTTAAACAATTTATAAAAGCCTTTCTACAGGGCAGGTCTAGCCCCGGCTGACCCTGCCCCCTCCCCGTGCAGCCCTGGGAGAAAGGTGGCCCATGACTGCACCTGGGCATGCACTCTGGGGGCTGCCACCGCTTAGCGTTGTGTGATTTATGACCTTGACATAATAGATAGTCTTGTGGTTTTTTTTTTTAATTTAAAGATATTGAGACTTAATTCACTAAAATTTATTCTAAGGGGATATTTATACTTTTATACTTTTTTAGGTATCTGTATTTTATCAGCTTACAGTTTAATGCCTAAGTTTCCCCTGAAAATAGCAAATAAAATTGTGTATTTATGAATGAGCCCAGCAACTGCTAGTGTCTTAAAATGCATGAAACATGGCCCTGGGCTCCTGGGCCCAGGGTGCTGGGCTGACCACGTGGGTGTCCATGGAGAGTGGCGGGCCAGAGCTGCACGGCCCCTCCCCCACCCCAGCCAGCCACCCTGATACTCACCTGCCTCTTGCTGACATCACACGCCCATCCTCTGCAGCCATGTACGAGTGACTTTTATTTTTAAAAGACGGATCTCACTATGTTTTTCATGCTGGTCTTAAAGTCCTGGCCTCTAGCAATCCTCCCACCTGGGCCTCCTGAGTAGCTGGGACTATAGGCATATGTCCCTGTGCTCAGCTCAGTTAATGTTTTTGAAAATATTGACACCTCGTCAAATTAGTGTCCACCTCTCCTGTCTCTCACCATGGCTTTAAGTGCCAGTGGTGACTGAGCAAGAGCCTGGGCCTGGCCGGAGTCTGGCACCTTCTCCCAGCTGCTCTGGCTCCCTCTTGTGGCCACTCAGCAAAAGCTCGGTCCTGAATCCTGGCTCTCGCCGGAAGTTCCCTCTCCCAGTGTCCCCCAGGGCTCTGGCTGCCTGAGGTCAGCCAGGATCTCTTTGACCCAAGATGCTGGTGCCGGGCTGCCCAGAGTCTAGACCTCGTCCGTCCTGTTTCCAGGTGTGTGACCAACTGCCAGGAGGATAGGCCCACCCTGACCTGGGGCTATGGTGAGGGGTGGAACAGGGCTGCTTGCATGGATGGGGGCTGGGCTTCCAGGTGCTCGGGGTACAACCTGGGCCCTGGGGAAGGAATCCAGATTCTGCTCCTTGGAGACTCCCAGAACCTGATGAGCCTGATAAGCCTTGTGGCCCCTTGGCCAAACAGAGTATAGGGACACTTGGGAGAGCCCTCAGCATGGCAGATGTCCCCAGCCAAAGATGGAGCATGTTCCCCATCTGAGCAGAAGGTGGGGAAGGAGGCAGGCCCTCCAGTCCGGGTCCTGAAGCCGAGGACACCCAGGGCCACTGGGTCTGCTGAGCAGGGAGGGAACCTTGCCCTTCCTCGGACCCTGGCCCACCTGTCTGGGGCCCCCTGCCTGGCCCTGGGAGAGTGTTAGGGGAAAGACACCGCTCTCTGGCAGCCTCAGGGCCTCCAGCCCACCAAAGGGTAGTCACTGGAGGGGCTGGAGAGGAGGTGGACCTGGAGAGTGTGGCCCCAGAGAGTCCTGGCCCCTGGACCTTCTGCAGAGCCCATGCCTGGAACCTTCCAGTGCACCACACCAGGCAGGCCACCGTCCTTATCCTCTCACCCCTCCCCGCTCCCTCGTGTCTGTCAGCATCCACCCAGTAGGAGCTTCCAGCAATTTCCATCCTTCCCGAACAGGTGGCAGTGGCCGGCCTATACCCAGCTGAGGCGGCAGAGAGCTGACCCCACAGTGCTGCCACCCGGGTCCACACAGGTCCGAGCACACACCGGTCCCCGCCTGTGAGAGGAGCACTGCCACTTGGCATTTCTGCACTAGTCATGCTCGCTGGGGAGTCAGGAAGGAGAGGGTCAGCCCAGGTCGTCACAGAGACCCGCTTTGCCTTCAGACCGCCCTTCAAGCGCTCTTGGACCTGAGGAGGATCCTGACCCAGCTGTTTGCATTCCTGGGCTCCCATGGTGCATGTGTGTAGTGCACGGTGTGTGCCTCTGTGTGTGTGTCCATGCGTGTGTGCCCCTTGTGAGTGTGTGTGCATGTGGTGTGCTCGTGTGGGTCTCTGGGCCCTGGTGCAGCCCGCAGAAGGGATGTCCGACCCTGGTGCCTGCCTTGCCCTGCCCGTGTCTGGCCGAGGGGCCTTCTCTTGGCCTGCCTAGCTGAGCCCAGAGCACTCCAGCCCATTCCTCCTTCCTTCCTGGGAGGCTGCAGAACACGTGCTGGTCCGTGCCAGCCTGTCCCACAAATTCCTCCTACAGCTGGCGGGGTCCCTGCCTCCCACCAGGCAGGTGGCTCTGGGCTCTGCTTGGTAGCAGTATGGAAAGTTGCTTCTGAGCTGCACCCCCGCCTGGGGTGGGAGAGGGAACCTGAGACAACCTGGGCCGGACCCTTCCTGCCTGATGTCTTCTCACATCTGCCATTCGCTGTGTAGAGTAGACCTGGCTCCCTTTCACCCCTCTCTGCGGAGAGCGCCTCCCAGGCATGGGGGCGGGGCTGGCAAGATCAGCAGGTGGGGGAAGTGTTGGTGCTGGAAGCACCTGGACGAGGCAGCCCACGTCAGCGCAGCGGCCTCCCAGGAACCCCAGACTCACCTTTTTGGTGCCCCTCCTTCCCCTAATCCCTGCGGCACCCTAACCAGACCCCTGCCCTGTGAAGAAGCAGAAAGATGGGGTGATGGGCCCCAGGAACCCCCAAAGCTGGGACAGCAGGCGGGATGGCCACCAATGCTGTCTCAGAGGAAGCCTGAGCCAGGCTGTCTCCCAGGAGCCAGGCTCATCCCAGCCTCGGAGCCCACAGGGGCCCTCCCCTCAGGCCACTAGCCTCTCCCCTCCTCCTGCCCACAGGGCCGGGGCTCCTCCTGGCCAGAGCAGGTGCTGGCTGGCCAGGGCTCTCCAGGCTGCGGGTTGGGCCTGCTCCTGAGGCCAGGGTCACCCTTGGACACCTACTGCCTGTGCCGCCTCGTCACCTGGGCTTCAGTGCACCTGCTCCCCGACAGGGCTGGACATATGACCCCTCCCAGGCCAGGCTGCTCACCCCTGGTCTAGAGAAAGCAATCAGATGTCTGTTCCACGGAGGCCACTGTGGCCCGCGGGGGCTGGGCCTTGACCAGTGCCGCCCTCCTGCCTCTTTGCCCAGGTGTGCCCGGCCAAGTAGAGTCCAGAGGGGAATCTGTTGTTTTGTTCCCCACTGTGTTCCCAGGTAGGTGCTCAACAGGTGCCACCAAGTGGCATGTATTCCTTGCGGAAATAACTAGGGCCTGCTTTCTCCCCGACACTGTGGGGGTCAGGCCTGCCTGGGTGTGTGCGTGGTGCACACAATGCGTGTGCGTGTCCAGCCTCTCCCTCCTCCACCACATGTTGCTGTGGATGCCCTAGTGGGGAGATGGAGGTTGAAGGAGGGGGGTAAGGAGAGCAGCTGGGGTCAGTGGGAACCTGGGGCACAGGCAGCCGCTGGAGGAGCCCCAGGGTGCCTGAAGTAGAGATGCTGCCGCCCTGGTGACATTCTACTGCTAGAGACTGAGCCCGGGCATCCTCCCCACCCTGGACCTTGACCACGGTCCCCCAAGGATCCTCACTCGGGCAGCCAGCACTGAGGCTGGATTTTTATTGGAGGGCAGACATAAATAAAAACAACTCTGCGTCAGAGGGGACGTGGCGGGCTATTTACACGTGTGCACGACGGATGGCGGGCTCAGAGGTGGGTGAGCAGCACTGTGAGGGCCAGCAGGGTGCTGTGAGCGGCCAGGCAGGGTGCGGGGCTCTGACCCAGGGGCTGCTGGGCCCTTGAGTCACGCCTTCGGCCTCCCGCGCTGGCTGGCTGGAACTGCAGCTCGGGAATGACGCGATGGATCCAGTTGTGGTGGGCAGTGACTCGAATGTAGACACCGGGGCGGTTCTGGCGGGCACAGCCCTCGCCCCAGCTGATCACCCCAGCCTGCAACCACGTCTGGCCCACGAGGCACACCAGGGGGCCGCCCGAGTCACCCTGTGGGGGATGAGGTGGACTCGTCAGAGCCCGGCCCGAGTGTACAGGGACCCAGAGCCCG